TCTAACTTGCATATATATTCTGACTATATTCCAGAAAGTATTAGATATTTTTCCGGAAATTTGTTAACAAAACCATTAAATTTCCGGATTTAAATCAGATATTAGAAATCAGAAAAAAATCCAGAAATTTTCAGACTCAAAAATCGGGAATTTTCCAGATCAAAAACGGCCCATTTTTTTTTACAGGGCATTGATGCAATATTTTTTTGAAATACATGTAATTCTACTTGAAACATTGAAAAAGATATCAACACATTATAAAGCAAAACTTAATCATTGTCTTACAAAATAATTATCACCTAATCATATTTATTCAATTTGACAGAATCAGATAACGTTGAAAATACAGTACTTTAACTAACTAGAGCAAATAACGCATTCTCAAGATCGGACACATTAAATAATACAATGTGTATTTAAGAACGCCAAATTTGCGGTTAGGAAAGCAAGCTTACTTTTATCCATATTGCTATGTTAAAGATATCGAATTCAAAAATATAAATTAACAGACACTTTAAACGAGTATATGTATAAGTTGTCTCTGGGAAATAATCATTGAATTATATCTACATAGCATGTGATTGTCTTTTAATAGCCCATAACGATTTTACGAAATTTTGTCTTTCTTACTTGTTCAAACATAAGCAAATTTTAAAATCTTTTAGCTGCACTTACCATCATCTTTAAAAAATATAACCAGATATTAAAAAAAATAAAATAAATACTATTTAAAAATCTAATCATATATTTAGAATTTCAAAAATACACAGTATCTTGTACATACAAAGGAACCAAATTTAAAATTATAAAATTTCTAATACTGAGCATTGTATCTTCTTTCTTTATGGTGCAGGATATCTGAAGTCATCAAACGTTTATATTTTATAAAGTGTGTAAACTTCTCAACTAGGAAATAAATTCAAAATTTAATCCGTAAGTATGGTAGAGAATGGCTTATTCCACCACATTTCCGGATTAATTCTGAATTTACTTCCTATTGAGAAGTTTACACACTTTATAAAATATAAACGTTTGATGACTTTAGATATCCTGCACCATAAGAATTTCCACAGTTTCGTGACTAGCTCAAATTATTCTGATAATAATGTAAAATAACCTTTCAACATTTTCACGTGTTTCCGCCGAACATCCGATAAATTCACATCCAAGTAATCGTGTCATATTCATTCCTTCTTTGCGTGATACAAAAAGGAAATCACATCTCTGATATATATTCTTGTCCAGCCGTATATAATGCCTCTAAACACATGGTTCTACCATCAATAACCATTTACGTTATATACGCATCTTCAATCGTAAATCGTAAAATGATTCAGGCTTAATTTAATCATAAATTCTCTCCTACACACCATCACCAAGTAGAACAAGTTTATACAACATCATTTTGAAGGATAATAAGGAGATAGGAAGTGTTAGATTTCATGCATAGCGTTAGCAGCATAACGGGTTGAATCTAATAAAACCAAATCTACGTAATGTCATATCGATACATTAACCGGTAACAAGTAACTTTTTTTGATAACCTGTGAATTTACACAGTACGTAAAACGTATTATTTCATTTTACACAATATTCATATTGATTTTATGCAGTTTAGGTACTCTGGGCTGTAAAAAGACAAATAAATTGTGCAAAAATTTATTTGAAACACAATAAACTTTTACATGTACTTTCCTTCTCGACATTAAACTAAATATATTCTCTTTGAATTGAAATTCTATAAATGGTTCTCAACCAAACATTATAATCTTTTTACAATGGACTTTCTAGAAGTCTTAGCAATTGAAGGTTCTTATGCTACGAAATTTGTATAACAAAGAAAATTCTCATATAAACATTTTATCTTTCTTTTATTTGGCAGGAAATTTTCTTTTGTTCTGCATTTTATGATACTATTTCGACATTTCATTAATATCGCTACATAACCAACACTCATTCAATAATAATAATAATAATAATAATAATAATAATAATAATTAGCTAACTTATTTGACTCGTACCAGTCTAGAATTAACCACCAATGTTAGGTCTTATTTAAACTATTTTATTTGTCCAGGATTTTGCCATTAAGAGCCTGGAAAGTAATGTAATGTAATGTGGTAGATGTACGCTAAAAGATAACCTCTTTCATATTTTAGTAAAAAATTGCATCAGCTTTCTGATATTTGGTATCTTATTCGTAGTATTCAGTTCGGAATTTTCAAATAGTTAAAAGCTGACCTATATAAATGAACCATTCATTATATGGTATTTGAAAAGCAAAATCAAGATATAAACAATATCATTATCATTATTTTCGAGACAAACTATAACAATGCAATGAGATTTTCTTAGTTCAAGGTTTACTATTTTTTCAGTAAAAAATGACAAGAGATCGAAAATTATATCCCAGCAAATAGACCAAATTACATATTACGTATAGCATTACGTATTTTTTATCAAGCCTAAAGCAGTTTCGGATTCATGGTCGATAAATGTTACTTTATCTTTATTATGACTCTAATATATTACTGATGCATTACCTGTATGCTTGTACATGTCCTTGCCACATTATATATTGTGTGTTATATCATAATTTTGTTTGTATGAGTCGTCTTCTACACTTTTGTATAAATACGAGTTACTTTTCCCGTTACTCTTAGTATTAAATCTCTCAAATTATAAACAATTACAATCGAAATCGAAAAACATCAAAATGTCCAAATTAGCTTTGAAACTCATTCTTTTCTTCCAATTAATTTTTTTAACCCACTTTATCGCTAAAATCGGCGCAACTGGATCTTTCCTCGTTGATAATAGCCATTATCAAGATATCAATGTTTTTAGATCAAATACTACAAACGAAATTTCGCATCAACCTGTTACAGACCTTCATCTAAAAGATCCAGGATCAAATAAACTTGAACTCGACGATCATGAACTTGAATCAGACTTTCAACTAAAAGATCCAGGATCGAATAAACTTGAACTCGACGATCATGAACTTGAATCAGACGATATTGATACGTTATTGGGAGATGATGACGACGATATAAATGCTGCACAACGTTTAAATAGAAGAAGTATAAACCTAGCACGACGTCGATGCCGAAGAACTTGTGTAAATATATGCACTTATCGTCGTCGTCACCGTACTCGTCGAGCACGTGCACGATGTATCTCTATTTGCATTGAAGACTGTTTTCGTCGTTTTAGAAGACGTTTCTCGAGGGAGGGTCGAAGTAGAAGGGGAAGGAGTCCAAGAAAATAATTGGAAAGATTCAATAATTTTTTTAGATGGTAGACTGAGAGACGAAGCAAAGTAGAAATGAAATAATAATAAAAGTTCTATTTTAATATAGTTGTTGATATATTATGATTGAGAGTCGGCACGAATAAATAAATATATCTTTTTTAATTTTATTACTGTAATGATATAATTATTTTCTCTTCTTAGTACTTAATCAAAAATTTTCTAGCAAAATTTTAATAAATTTATTTAGTCAGTCCATTAATATCGTGCTGAAGACACTCTCAAATAAGAGATTCAAGTTATTACTTTAAATTTTAATTCCTAATGTATATAGCTCGTTCGTTCTTCAATTCCGTCGAAAGCTATATAGTCTGCACATAGCGGGGGGGGGTATTCTTGATCAATTCGGATACTGTATTCTATAAAATTATCCACTTACGTTCTGTTTTTAGAATCTTTCGGGCAAAATTAATCATATTACCGTTACTAGCACTAACGCTAATGCTAACCCTAACGCCATATCGATATCTACATATCGATATATCCCGTTCCCATACATAGACTAATCACCGAAACTTTTTTGCTAAATACATGTACTAATCAATAACACAATACAAATTTCAGAATATTTTTGTAATTTTCTATTTAACTCGATATAATACGACATTGGTCGAAAGTGTCAATGAAATATTCGTTTAAGCAAATGAGAAAACAGCATGTTAGAAATAATGTCAGATATTGAAAATTATGACTGTTAGCTTGAATAATTTGTGTTATAAATCACAACGTTAAGTGGTATTCCATCATTGCTCGAAAATTTAACTGATAAATATCAGAGCAAGTTTTTTGCTCTATACCTGGCAAAGTTTAAAAACTTAACCAAATCATAAAATAGAAATCGAGCTCCGAAATTTCTTTTCAATTCATAAGTCATAATTCAAAGATCATGGTGATATTATTTCTGTTCGAAAATGATTCTTTCCTTCGCCTATGACCGTATGTTTTTTCCTTAAGCCAGGCTGTAAATAATGATACGTAGTTAAGACAAGTGGTTGATGTAATGCATATCGACAACTTTTTGCAATTGCTCGTCCGAAGTCATTTTGTCACCAGCTGCTTCGTAGAACGGGTTTTCCAAAGAATTGTCACAATTTCACAGCATCCACAATTAGGTTCGTAAATATTTTTGGCTGAATTTTAGTGGAATGTAGCAAATTATACATGGTGATGTAATAGCGACAAGTTGAATGAAATATGTGAAGGGTTAGGGTTACTATTTTCAACAAAAATTTCGTAATTCCTTAATTTTAATTATATAAATTATGGTATATCATAATTAAGCCAATAATAATCATATTAATTTCTCTTATTTTCACTTCGTATACCATATTTAGTATATATTTGATCAAAAATTAAAATAATCATCAACACATTCATGATACTCACTTTATTTTCACATTTATTTTCTCATACTTTCCACTCAAAAATTAATATTTTTGCTATTGGTGCATCTTATATTTTATCCCCAACAAGAACATTCTTAATTCTTATTACATTATAATTACCCAATCACATTCATATTTATTTTATCTCATTTCATCTTTATTTTCATTTTCATTTTCTTTGTTAATTTTCTCATGACTAATCTTGTGTTATTAATTTTTTTTCTTTAGATCTTTTCTTTTTACTGCAACATTGATTTTTCTTATCTCTAATCACTAATCTTGTAAAGTTTCTCTTGTATTTCCCTTTCTATTATTATGTGTAAAGTTTCATTTATTTTTTAGTCTTTATTCTTCTTTAGTATTATCTGTAAATAGTGGTATGGTGCATAACATCTAAAGTCATCAAACGTTTGTGTTTTATAAAATGTATAAACATCTTTACTAAGAAGTAAATACAAAATTTAATCCGTGAATATGCTCAGAAAGAGCCTATTCTATCATATTCACGGATTAAATTTTGTATTTACTTCTTTGTAAAGAAGTTTATACATTTTATAAAACACAAACGTTTGATGACTTTAGATGTTATGCACCATATGATTAATAATTATAAAAACTGTAGAAACTATTAAAAGTATAAAAGAAGAGTCTCTCATTGCTAGAAACTCATGCATTGATTTAATAAAAATAATAAAGTTCTTATTTATAATATTATACTTGTAAATATATTATTATTTTCATGATTATTTTCAAAGCTTTATTTCAAGTAGTGGATGCTTCTCCATTCTAAATAAGTCATTGATTTTATTATTTTAGTTATTTTGATTTTATTATTTTTAGGTTATGTCAATAAGTTTTATTTATTTTATTTAGTATATTAATATAATTATTTTGTTATTTTCTTTAATTGTTATACTAGTTTTATTTTAGTTTACTATTTTCTTTTATTTACTTATCTTTTTTGTTCTTATTCTAACTTTTGATATTAAGTTAGTTTGCACATAAGCTATTATAAAGATTTATAGAATCTTTAATAAACTCTATTAATTATAATATTATAAAGCACAAATAGAATTTCTAAATATTAAAAATTTCTAATTGTTAATTAGAATAATTTTAATTATAAATATAATATAATATTAATATCATTTTAGATCACTTTAATAAAAAATTAGTTCTTAAATTCTGCTAACAAAAAATATTATATATTTTATTATTTATAAGTTGTAATTAATATAATAATAATATTTTTTGTAATTATTCAAGTTAATTATAAAACAAAAAACTTTTATTATAATTTATAATATCAATATAAAAATTACAAAAAAAGTTCACTTGTTCATAAATATATTGATTCAAATATTTGTTTATTATAGAAATATTAAGATATTACTATCTCTTTTTAATATATTTTCTCTAAAACTTGTTCATGAACAACTATATCTTTTTTATATCTATTTATTAATATATTTAAATTAAATAAAATATATATTACCAAAATAAAATGCAAATTAAAAAAAGCAACAAACTTATTAAACTTATACAAAATCAAAAAACTATATTCTGTTCAAGTTATTATTTATACTTTAAATAAAAAAAAGTTATTAAATAAAATTATATGCTGACTCTCAAATATAAATATAAATATAAATATAAATATAAATATAAATATAAATATAAATACAAATTAATAATTATATGAAATTAAAACTATTAATAAATTTTTTGCATTAGCTTTAATAAAGATATTTTGATATATTAATAATTTTTACTTCATATTTTTATATTATATTTATTAATTAAATTATTTTTCAGATTTAATAAATTTAAAATTTATAATATCAAAAGATATTCTCTCTTACAAAAATATTTATTTCTGTTATTTTAATAATTGGTTCAGAAAGAATTATAATTTCTTTATAAAGAGTTAATTCATCAAAGTCTAAGGAATTCTGAACAGTCAAATACTTTAAAGAAGAATACAGATAATTGTAATTCAAAGATAATTATATCATCAGAGAGAAAATTGTTGAGAAATTCTGAATATTATTGTATAATAGAATTTTATATTAATTATTAGTCAAAATTATTATTTAATCTTATTGGATAATTTTGAGAAAATATATTTATATTTAATTAGTTAAGATCTTTTTATTTACATTTCGTATTACATTATTATTTGTATTATTATTTATATTATTATTTGTATCACATTTATATTATTATTT